TTAAACTAAACATTAAATTATTAACATATCAAGCTTGCACATTTAATTTAAAACATATTTATGCATAAAAAAATCCAAAACATATTAAAGTAGTAAAAGTGTAATATCTTAAATAGAAAATATACTAAATTCAATGCTTATTACTTATACTTATTTATTAGAAAAACACTAAAATCACTCATATTTAAAAATCTCCCATAAAGCTAGCAAAAATAATAATGCTTTTAAATGGGCCAGTCTACAAGGTTCGTGGATTAACTTTGCAAAATCCACGGGTCGAGTTTAATTTCTCCTATAATTATGTAGATTTTTTAAAAAATAAGTGCATTAACCTTATGGACCACAAGCCAACCCACAAACTTGCATCCATATACACTCCTCTAATTTATTGGCAAACAACTTCCATGACCCTCAACACAATGGTGTTGTTCAAATAGATCAAACATGCTTCTTGAGCATGGCGTGCTTGCTCTAAGATTGGGCAAGCCTCAAAACCAGTGTAGTCATGCAACAAAACACAAGCATGCTTCACAAGTTGAAGATGGTAGTAGTAGCTTTCACACCCATTGGGCATTCCAACACCTATGTGGAAGGGGTGTGCTCTTAAACATCATGGAGAATACCCACAACACAATCATGCTTGGTGGAGCACAACATTAGCACGACCATGCTTCTTTAGACTAGGGCATGTTTCATGAGCATGCAAACTAGCATGATTGTGCTTTTAGCTAACATATTTGTCTTATATCCTTCAGCTATTTGTTAAGCCAATTTTACCTCCTTTTGTCTCTATTTCATCATTTTAGTTCTCACTGACCGTTAAATTATGTTGGGGTTTCATGGGGTAAAGTTGAAATAAAATATTATCTATAAAATAACCTTTGAGCAAAATAACCCCCTTTGAGTGGATCACATAGTACACAAGAACCACACAAGGTTTAGAGGTTTACCTTTGGAAAATTGTTTAACTATTTTCACCGAATAACCTTTGGTTGAATGGAAGATCATCTATCTTTAATCACCGAGAACCAAAAGAATGGTATCTGTACTCGATCTATGTGAGGAATACTAGAGCAAGATTTGGTACTAGCCACATGAAGGACAAGAGTAGTTTCGTGAGACAATAGAAAAACTTAATCATCACCTAATTGGAAATGTTAGGTTAATACGCTCTTTTATAGACTATTGTTTTACTAATTTGATTTCTTATTGGGTTTGTACAATACAAGTATAATTACTTGTTCAATTTAATTAAATCATATTTAATTGAATCTATTATCAATTAATTAAATTATATTTAATTAGTTAACCATTAAAATAAATTATATATAATTTAATATGACTAGCTCCAAGTATTTGCTCTATGTGTGTGATCCATAGTTCTCTCTAAATTGACAATAATATTTAAATATCATATATAATATAATATCAAATATTGTAGACAAATATTGACATCTAGTAATACATTATTGTCACCCAATTAATGAGAAAAATTGATGCTTTAATACCAACCTTTTGCAACCAATTAAATTATTGCAAAGTAATTTTTCTTTTTGCCCATATGTCTTTGATTGATCATAAGACATAAAAATTTCCTTTTTATTGAGTCCAATCATATGTTTCTTGATACCCAAGTAGATGTTCAAACATGAATAAATCCAATATCTAATATTATTTCATTCTTACGTGGCCACACATGTTTCACATTTAACTCTATTGAGAGGCCTAATGCACAACTCTGATTATGCAAGAGGGGTGAATCTTTTCTATATCACTCACATTCCTCTGCATGGTTTATTGTAGGCCCAATTAACTACCTTTACAATAACCTTGTTACGGATAATATTTGATAGTTTCAAAGCTTACAACTCCTACATGTAGGAATCGTAGTGACTTTAAATTAAATGATTACTCTACTATAGTTACCATGAGAAGTGTTTAAATAGCCAATTTTGTCCCCTTATATTTTTCTACCAATTTTCCTTAATTCCACTCATTTATCATTCATTAATTTCCTTCTAAAAAATTTCTAAATCACAATAATACTTTCTTTCTCTTTTGTGGATTTCTTGAACCCAATTATAAAGTAGTCAACTTGTGGTGAGCCAACCCGTGTGAGCCAAATTGACTCACTTTGGCACCGTTAATTCACTCCTATTCCTCCACATGATTCATTGTAAACCCAATTAATTACTTTTACAATTACCCTTTTATAGATGATTTGATAGCATCAAAACTTACAACTCCTACATATATGAATCATAGTGACTTTAAGTCGAAGGAAAACTCTACTATGGTCTCCATGAGAAGCATTTATGATACTTGCATAATTATTATGAGGTCTTCTCATAGTGGGTCCATCTAGCATAAATATTACTCATGATATTTATACTTATGTGCCATACTCAATATCTCATATCCATAACCTATGAGATGATATTGTCAGTAAACTCACAATAGTCTCAATGCATTATTGTCATTTGTGTTAACAATAATACTTGACTATGAATGATTTAAAAATGATATTCTTTGTTCAAATAATCTCACAATCAAGTCATACTTGATATATCTCTGAACAAACAGTCTATTCTAAGAACGTTAATATGATCTAATAACACAATGATTGAAATGCATTTTACATAAATAATTAAATATCCATATATCAAAGTCATAATACAGATAAAGGATTGACTTTTAGGAATAAATCCAACATGTTAGACACTTAACAAAAAACATGTGTTCTCCTAAATAATTTATGCACAAAATTAAAATGAGACAAAATAATTTACAATATATTAAACTACAATAGATAAAGTTTTAACATTAATTATTGTGGAGACCATGCTTAAGGTTCGGAGGCTTATGAAAGCCAAATGTCCTTTTATGGTTTTGGTTTTTAGGTTCATCGACCATTTTAAGGTTAATGTTTATGAAGAGGTGGTTGACTTAACCTACTCTAAAAATGTTTTAAAGAAAGACACCCTTCACAAGCTTTCTTTTAGATAAAACTAATGAAGGATAGATGACCAAAGGAGAAGTTGTTGCTCATGCCTTTGATTCTAAGGAGGTGTAGCAAGAAGAGAAAGAACTTTGGAAGGACTTTAAGAATGTTATCAAGGAGAAGATGAATGTTCTTCTCACCTTTAACCATACACATATAGTTTGAGGTAAACATCTCACTAAGGAGCATCCAAAGATGCATTGGAAGCATTGTAATTAGGCTTGCCATTTTTGACTTTGGGTATGATCTTGATGATGATAATGAGAAATATAATTTTTGGGTCTTTAGGTTGCTCATTTATTTTTATGGTTATCTCTTTTTTACTTTCTGTTATGATTAATGAAATATGGTAGTTTTTGCTATAGAATGCGTTTTTTTTTCTCTCTTTTATATGCTTATCTTTTTACTTTGATGCAAGAAAAAAAAGGAGAAAATAATGAAAAGAATAAAAGAATGCCTAAAGTAAGAAAATTAAAAGAGAGATAAAAAATATTGCAATACGGGGCAAAATTATAAAAACTAAAAATATTTGCATATTTGTATTGGTCTTGTGCTTTGTTTGTACCTTTTATTTTTAGGATCATATTCAACAAGAGAGCAACTAAGAAAAGAAAGTGAATGTCAAAAGATAGGAGATTTGATAAAGGGAAGACTGTTAGCAATAAAGTTGATGGGTGAAGTAAGATCTTGAAGGATTGGAGATTAAGATTGTTAAGCTTTTAGTTTTGTCTTTGAATATGTAATTGTGTCATGAAGACTTAAGAGTATCATTATGATGATAAGGATTTGATCAATCTTAAGGCTAAGATTCATTTCACTTAAAGAGAATGTGATTTTCAAGTTAAAAGGGTTTAAGCTCGTAATTAAAAGTGAAATTGAAAAGAAATAGGATTTTTTTTATAGGCATTCTATATAAATTTAAAAGGACAATGAAGCCAATTAAGAAACATGTATATCAAATTTAAAATCATTCATTCAAGAAAACTTCTTAATGTGATTCTTTAAAGTGGTGTGATAGTCAATTGGAGCAAATAGTTTCAACAATCACATTAAAAGAAACATATAGTGGAACTAAAATTAATAATTCTTAATTTTAAAATTAGGATTTATACATAATTGAGAAAAAAAAATATTATTTATATACAATCATACAATATCATAACAAATGTATTTTTTTATAAATAAAGTCATAATATATGTTTTGATATCGCATTTAAGTTACTCTTTTTTTTTATAAGAATTTCAATAATAGAAAACTCTATAGAATCTTAGGAATTGATGATTGTAAGGAAAATACATATACCTCCACATTCTCTAGAATATCAATTGCGCTTTAATTTGCTTGGTGGATGAAGAAAATAAGATTTTATTTCCTTAACTTTTGCTTTTAGCCTCTCTCATTCATGATGGTTTGGGTCGATAGAACACTTTTTTCGTGTTAAGAATGAAACAATGTTTCACGTCAGCGAATATAAACCCTTTAAATCACTACTCTCATCAAATAGCATGTGTTTAAAAATTGTTACACTTTAACACATTTATTCTTTAATTATTTTAATATTTATTTATTAGCTGTTGTAGTGTTTTTGAGGAAAAATATGATAATTCGGTGTCTTGATTTTTTATTTTTTTTTAGTAACAGTGAATTGATTGTTAATAGTGTTTATGAGGAAAACAATGTATACACTCAATCTTGTCATAAACACATTTACATTCACCGTGCATTAACTTGAATCCTTGGCATATTGCATTAGGCCTTTATTGGGGAGGGAGTAAATGGTAATTTAAACAGAAAAGGGAAAATTGAAGAGTTTTTGAGAAGGAAAAAGGTGAAAGTACAAAATCTTAAATAACTCATTTTAAGTTGCCCAAAGTCTTAATTCGAAAGTTGATGTTATCATTGTAATTCTTCCATATCAATTTTTTTTACCTTTTTATTAAACTTGATTTTGCCTTTATAAATAGATCTTACCAATGATTTGCAGACAAGACACATTCATTTGACAGAATAGATGCAAAATATATTAATGGAAGTCCAAGACACGTTTGACAGAACAAAATCTAATGGACATAACTTAAAAGCTCCCACCAAATCAGTTTTCTTCCTTAAGAACCTCGGGAAATAGTTCCACGATGTTCTATTGGAGATACAAGCATCAATTCACTAACCCAATTCCCTTTCTTTTACGCTCAACTGCAACAGTGGATAATGACACAGTTTGTCATATTGGATGGTTTCATACATCAATAGTATTTCTTTTCATAAGAAACCAGCCCATGAACTCCACCTTCAACCTGTGCAGCTCCACTCCGGACCTGGTAAAAGCAGATCAAATATCAAGAACATAATTGAGTAACACCACATTCTGGACATGGAAAGATATTTAGAACAATAATTTGGTTCTCTAAAGATTGTGACTCAAATATGATCCTTGAACAACATTGTTTTTACATCATAAACCAAAAAGTTATTGTTAATGGGACCAAACTGCTATCATTCAATACAAAAGATTTTTTTTTTCTTTTTGAGGAACAAATTGGGAGTTTACTCCAATGCATTTAAATGATATCTAAAAGCAAAGTTGAATGCTTACAAAACAGGTATGGCTTGTAAACATAGCAAATTGCAGACTCAAACAAATACGAGAGCCCCCTTGGACAACCCACAATTACATTTTGTTTTTTTTTTTTATCAATGGTGATTTAGAATTTTAGCAAATCAGTAACCAAAAAGAAAGGGGATAAAGAAAAATAAAATACTTTCCATCATTTGATTTTAAATTCAAGATGTATTTAAGACCAAAAATAGATAATTTTTTAGTCCTGACTTCCATCGGATTAATCCTTCCCTACAGAAAGAAACTCATCCTAAATCCATTCGGTACTAACAAATTGCTGCAATTTCTTTTATTCCTTTTCTTGTTTTGAGAATGCAATGACAAACAAAACAAGGATAGCTACAATACTAGGAAAGTACAAAGATATCTAGGTCATGATTAATGTCAGACATAGAAGTAAATAAATGGTACAAAAGACTTCGTTAAAAGCAGATTCAACAAGCAAACATTAAATGCAAGAATCCACAAAGCCTGTGCAAACTAAACAAGAAAATCAAAAAATGGATGATTAAGCATCAAGACAAGGTTGAATCAAAAACAGAAGAACGGTCAACAAACACTAGATGAAGCCAATTACAAGATGAAACCTTGGAGTATCAGATGATGAGCCAAAACAGGACTAAAGCGTGAACAAGGCAAACATAGGTTGAACATCAAGTGAAGCCAGATGGTCAACATTGATGAAGATCGGAAG